CCCCCCCTCACGGCACTTTCCCATTTCAGGCACGAATTTTGGCGCCCATCCGGGCAATACCCTTAGCTACGGGACCGCTGTTCCGGCCCCTTCTTCTTTTCCTCACAGAGCCCTTCAGGCCCGCACTGCCTTTTTGTAGTGATTAAATATGCTAAGAGATGAAATGATTGGTCCAGGATGAGCTGGGAGATATATGGTGCAAACAGCAACACGCCAACAATGAAAAAAAAAAAACTTGTAGGATTGAAGTAACACCACCGGCGCGGAATGATAAGTAACGAACATTCGAAGGCCGAATCAGAAGTGGACGGTTCAAGTGAGGGGGCCGAAGTGGGTTAAATTGATAAAAAACTTTTTTGCGGCCATTGGTAGGCCGAACCATACGCGTGGAAAATATGGAAAGGCCAAAATGCTTAAATTCTGATGTGGAATGCCCACATTTTAATATGGACTGTCCTCAGTGTGGGATTCCGTAATACTTCAGAAATTGTGGTTAATAGATCGGACCATAATTTTTGAAACATCATGGAATTCTACACTGATAGCCCGGGCGAAACTGGTATTTTTTGGTAAACCGAACAGCAAGTGCTTGCTGAAAAAAGAAATATTTGAAACGACTAATGACTCATAGTATGATTTCCATAATTACTGTGACATTGGGGTCATCATCCGAATGCTTTCGTGAGGATTTTAAAGCAAAAAAAAAAAAACTTTAATGACAAAAAACGCAGGAAGGAAACTGTTGGAAGTAAAGAAATCCAGTCAGTACCAGTAGTTCATCGTTGCTGTCACACAAAACTTGATAATAACACACCCTGCCCCAATTTCTAATCATATTCATTTCTTTATATATAAAAAGGGGAGCCCTAGTAAATTTATTTGCCTTAATGACCTAGGAATTAAAAACCTAGTTAGTGCTATATTCTCATAAAAGCTATCTCCTCATAACTTCATAAAATTACTATCCTTATCATATGTTAATTTCCTCGTCTTCCACCTGCTCTATCACTCCTACTTCTTTCATTATATTAAATAGTTTCTCTCCTTTCTCTCTTTATCTTTTCCCTTCACTCATCCTTCTAGCAAATTAGCTACAGGCTCTTTCAATACATGGCGGGTAGGAGGTTGTACTGACAATTCCCACTCCTACCCGCATGCATAGTCCGGCTTGTGTTTACAGCTAAGGGATGAAACAAAGACTGCATCGAAAAATATCACCCCACTACATCTACAAGATAAAGGTAATTTACGCCATAAAACAACACTTTACACATGACTTGCATACAATCTTATTGGTCTATCATTATTACAAGACGAGACATTTGCATATCACATGGGATCGTAATGCAACTGAAGGGTAAAATGGGGTTCGGCCAAATTCGTTCCTTGTTTGTGTCAGCCAATTTTCGATTTTGCAACATTATGAATTACGTATAATGTAAATTACTAGCTGTGATATGCGCCTCAATGACAAGTGATATCATTCAGAGCATACTGAGCAATGAGAAAGATGGTGTAGAACTACCAGAGAATGTAATAGAAAAAAATTAAAAGGCGAAACGAAAATGTTTTGGGAAATTTTGATCGCAGATGGGACCTTGTTGGGCGATGCAAAAGTGAGCCGCAACTCGTCCACATTTACCGCCGGTTTCTGCACTGTTCCAGCTTCCGCGGCGTACCATCGCGCCAAAATCCCCCGCAATTTGCCAATGCCATGTCGCGAGAGCATCTGAAACACAGCAGTAAAAATAAATAAATACCAGCTTTCTAAATATTTCCCTCCTACGGAGGCCCATCGTCAACGTCTGATACACGCTCTTCTACAATAACTGTACCACCCAACATGCACGTATAAGTCGCGTTATTAGCGTTCTGTTCACATTGCTACTTCCTCCTCTCGACTTTTTTCCACTTCTACATCATAACGTGCTAATCTTTTTCAAATACCCTAAATTTACGCTTTTCAAAAAATTTTCCCCGTTCCTATCTTCTTTCTTCCTGCCTTCCATTCCCTCTTCTTCTTCTTCTTCTTCTTCTTCTTCTCTTCTTTGGACACTGCAACCGTCATACTGACGAGGTCCAGTGGCGGTGTTGAGCTAAGACTTATATGACTTCATGAACGGACTTAAACGTCTTAACTCTCTCGTACATATTTTTCCTGTGCCAGCAATATTTCTACATCTTGCATTACATAGTTCGTTCTATTCCTGCCTTCTTTTTTAGGTTCTTCATATTACTTTCATGCTACAACCATGCGATAATCAGCTTAGTCGAGAAGCGCTACAATGATAATCTCCGCCACAGAAGATATGAGATTCACGTGCAACCCTCCCCTCTCCTCGTCTTCTTCCCCCTTATTCTTACCCTCGGACAGCAGAAACTTTCACCACTTATTCGGAGATCACCGCTATGCGAAACGACGCGATACGTGAGGGCACGATGAGCACCTTTGCATGCCTGGACGAGCAGAGCCATCCCACTCCCCTCGGGGACAAAGGCCACCCGGGGCAACACATAATCTATGATGTGCCAAGGCAGCGACTTCACCATTGCAGCCAAAGGCACCAGTTTTACGGGTTACCCCCCGGCTCGTGCCCTAATCACCCAATAAAATCGAGCTACATCACCTCCCTCCCCACCCCCTCACCCCTTCTCCCCATACTCCTGACATGCTCCCGAACTTGCCCCCGAGAAACGAAACAGATCTTCCCAACTACTAAAATTCTGTCCAGGCCGGCTTGGGTTAATGCGCGAATTGCGGAAACTGATGTTGATGATGGGAAATAAAATGAAGCATGCTAAATGTAATTAAGTCAAATTGTTGGTGAGGGGAGTGCTTAAAAATTGCATGTGTATGTGAGATGTTGAATGGGAGGGGTGAGAATTAGGTTTTTTTGAAGGAAATTGATGAGAATAGAGCTAATGATTAATCCGTAATTATAGAGACTAGTAGTGACCAATGGTAGAAGGACACAAGAGGGAAGTGGTTGGGGAAGAGAAAAGATAGTTATATAGGTGCCTATTTTGTAACAAAGGTATGGACATGTGTTGTGAGTATGTGAAAAGGAATATGTGGATTTCCCGTCTACTACCCCAGGCCCTGGGCATCCTGGATTCGGGCACGGGTAGATGGGAAGGAGGGTCGGCAATTGCCAGAACTTCACTGGGCTGGTATCTTACACGAATTATGAAAATTTTCTCTTGATAGTGATGGGTGCGGTT